GCGCTGGACTCTCCTCTCTGCACAATAGCCCCCGCATTGGTAAATATAAAGAAAAGAGTTTTATCTCACAGTTTTGATTGGCTTCAATGGATTTCCCTTTGTGGAAGGCCTGTTATTCTGTATCACAATATGGTAGAGACATAAAGGGAAACTGTACATGCAGAACTCACCACAGTGAGATGGGGAGCCAGAAAGTGGGGTGTGGGGTGGTCTTGCTCTTTTTAGAACAACTCACTCCAGATCCCATGAGCTCTAGGTTAACCCCTCTCAGGGTGGCACCCCAATGACCCGATCACCTTCCACCAGACCTCATCTTGCATAGGTTCCATAGCTGCTTAATATTGCCACAAAAGTGAGCAAAAGCTCCAGCACATGATCCCTTGGGAGACAAACCACACCCAAACCATAGAAGCCACAAAAGCAAAAAGATGATGTCCTTCCTCATGAAGTGCTCTGCTAAGGTCCTTCCTAACGTACCCTTCGACCTTCTCATGCTTGGCCACTTGCTTCCAAGCTTCTGCATGTGCTGTGCCCTCCGCTGGCATGGCTCCCCCAGCTGACACTCTCCTAATCACCCTTCGAGGCATGGGCCTCGTGGTTGAGAGTCTCTGAAATGCTCCTGCTCCTTCACCTGGGCTGCTCAGGCACACGCAGTCCTCTGATGTTGGTCACTATGCAGCCCCGGGGTGCAATGCCACATTCTGCTCTGGGAAAGGAAGCAAGGGCAGAGCCAAGGAGGGAGCTCAGCGAATGGTGGGCTGGCATGGTTCTAGGGCCTTGCCACCAGGCTGTCTGGAAGAGGCCAATCATTACCACAGGGCTCAGCACAGACCACATGACCTCTCAGCAGCAGCCAAGCAGGTGCCTCTCACACACCTGAAATGCTCCTTCTCCTGGGCCCAGGTCACCGCCCACTCCCAGCTGGCTGCTCCCTCTCAGCTGCCTCGCTGGCCCCTCCTGCTCCCCTTGCTCAGGCCTCTGGGTCTCCCTCTCCCTCCACTGATTCCCTGAGTGAGCCCAGCAGCACTTGGAACTCATGTGCCACCTTAGCTGCCTCCTCCTGCTGCCCTGGCTGTGCACAGGGCACTTCCACTTCACTGGGACAGACTGCTGCACCCTTGATTCCTCCCCCACCCCAGCTCAGGCTCTCCTGCTGTCCCACAGCCCCTGTGCCTCTGCTGCAGCTGCCCCCTCCTGGGTGGTCCGGGTGAAGGCCTGGGGCAGCCTGGAGGCTCCTCTGTCCTCGCTCCCCACCTTGGTGGGCTGGCGGATCCACAGGGCTCCTCCTGTAAAAGAGCTCAGAATCCAGCCCCTCTCCGCACCTCGCTTCATGGCCGCGTCTCTGGCTGGATTATGGTTGTAATCATATTCATAAACCTGTGACTTGGACATGGTGGCGGTCCACAGTGGCCAGTGATTACCAGAGGCACAGGGTGAGTCTCGACCTGCCTCTGTTGTGGGCTCCCATGTCACTCATGGTGACAGAGAAGTTCCCTCCCAAGGTCCCCAGCGTGCTATCTAGTGCCTCTCACTCTATCTACACTCACATTTTGGTGCCCTTGGCCTGGGGCCTTTGCACCTGCTGCTTCTCCTCCCTGGAATTTCTCCTTTGGACATTTACAAGACCTGTGCTCCTTTCATGCTGGTCTCTACCCAATGCCACTGCCCCTCAGAGGCCTTCCCTGGTGCTGAGAATTGAAATCCCCCCCACTGCCCCCGCCCTGCCTCTGTCATTACCTGTCATTACCTCAGATCACCTTCACTCATGAACACTGTGTTCTCTTTTCATCTGTTTGTGCTCTGTAGTGTGAGCTGAGTGTAGTCAGGTTTGCTGTTTGGTTCCTAAGGATGCTGTAACTCTTAGACTGGTGTAGGGTGCATAGTAGGTACTCACTCAGTACATCAGAATGAATGGAGATTCCTTGCAGAGCAGTGCTACAGGGATGACAGTCAGGTGGTGACCACTGAGTCCCCAGCTCATCTCTGGTCCTGAGAGCTCTGCCATGACATCTCTAGTCCCCCCCCCACCCTATTATCTTGCAGCACTGGGGATGAGCACAGCCCAGGGAACTGGGGTCACTTGGACCAGGTAGCTGCTCTGCGCTGGGTGCAGGACAACATTGCCAACTTTGGAGGGAACCCAATCTCTGACCATTTTTGGAGAGTCGGCAGGAGGACAAGGTGTCTCTGTTCTTGTGAGTGCTTCTGCCCCTGCCCCACCCCTGGACCTCTTGGAGACCAGTGAATCCAGCCACAGGCACCTTTGTTTACATGTCTGGATTCAGGGTAGACGCTGCCCACTGCCTGGCTTTAGGTGGTGGAGAGTCAAGACCCAGACCCTCTTGGCCTCCAGGAAGCTCAGAGCTCAGCTTCATGTCCTGGGGCCAGCAACATCTCTAGCTCAGCCTGCATCGGTGACTTTTCTCCTCCTTTGATTTGATTTAGTTCTATTTCCTCTTCTTATAATTTTGACATTAGGGCTCACCTCACTTCTCTTGGGAAACGGGGGTGGTTATAAATTACACTGAGAAGGCTCAAAGATATAATTTAGATAAAGGATCCTTGGCTGCAAGGCAGATCTCCGTGTTGAGAGGACTGGAGCACCGAGAGCAGGCAGGGCCCTCCTCTAAGGTGGCCTGATGACATGTCCATGCCCACGATGAGGGCAGCAAACTCTGGGACAATTTGCACTGAGGGAGGTGGGTGTGAGGATGCAGGGATGGGAGGTGGGGGAATGGATGTGGGTCACAGAAGTCACTTGGGTCCTGAGATTTCCTGCTAGTGAGGGGAATGGGGCTGGAGGACACTGAGGGAAATAAGGGTGGTGCTGGGAGCATGGGCAACCCCTCCGTACCTCCGGGTGGAGCAGAGCGTCAGCCAAATTACGTATTTTCCAGCTGGGTATTGTCCTCATAGGTGAATAATCAGGGGAAATCTTTATACATTTTTAAAGAAGAGGATAAGGAAACATACAAATAATAATAATAAGAAAATAATCATCCACAATCACACACCTCAAGGATAGTGACTGGGCATTTGGACCTGTTTTTTTCTGTCTGTCTATCCATCTATCCATCTATCCATCCATCATCTTTCCCCATTCTCCCTTTCTGTTCTGTATCCATGTTGCATTTTTTCCCACAAAATTTCCCTTAGCATACTAGCATAATGTAAACATTTCCTTAATGTAAACATTCTTATGCAATATTATTATTATTATTTTAGAGAGAGAGGAAGGGGGGATAGAAAGAGAAAGAGAGAGAGAGAGAATTTTTTAATATTTATTTTTCAGTTTTCAGTGGATACAACATCTTTATTTTATTTTATGTGCTGCTGAGGATCGAACCCAGCACCCTTGCATGCCAGGAGAGCATGCTACTGCTTGAGCTACATCTCCAGCCCTGCAATATTATTTTTATAATTGTATAACATTCTGTTGCAAGAATGAAAAATTGTTTAGCCAATTTCTCAATATTGGATCTTGGATTACTCTCAGCTTTTTTTTTTTTTTTTTTTTTTCCATGCTTATAGCGTGAACATTTTTAGATATCTCTGTGCACCTCCAGGATCTTTTTCTTCTTTCTTTTTTGCAATGCCCTTGACTTGGCAGCACATGCTCTGCCATTGAGTTACATCCCCAGCTCTTTTTTTGAGGAGGGGTACTGGGATTGAACTCAGGGTCACTCCACTACTGAGCCACATCCCCAGCCATTTTTTGTATTTTATTTACAGACAGAGTCTCACTGAGTTGCTTAGCACCTTGCATTTTGCTGAGTCTGGCTTTGAACTCATCATTCTCTTGCCTCAGCCTCCCGAGTGGCTGGAATTACAGAAGTGGGCCACCCCACCTGGTCCCACCTTGTTTTTATGTGATAATTTTTTTTAGGATAAATTTTGAATACTGCAATGTACTCTGGGGCTAGAAATTGCCTAGCTGGTTTCCCAATACTTTTGATTATCACGATGAGCATGTGCCACACGCTTCCTGTCCTGTTCTTAACCCTGGGATCTGGCCTCGTCCTATTGAGTTTCTCTTAGGAAAGGTGGGCCCCACATGGAGCTGGGAAGCAGGCCAGCATAGGTGAGGAAGTGTCATATCCACAGGGTGCCAGAGTCTCAGGGTGAATGGTCCCAGGCAGCGGGGGCAGTTGGAGGGAGGCTGAAAGACAAGTGAATCACTGATCTTCACCTTGTGAACATAATCCTCCTCCTCTCCATGTCTCTGCAAGGTGGTTATCTCCTCTTGCCAAGAACCTCTTCCACAGGGCCATTTCTGAGAGTGGCGTGGCCCTGAGTTCTTTTCTGGTCAGGAAGAACACCAAACTTCTAGCTGAGGTAAGTCTCTCCCTGGACAGTTCCCAAGCCCTTTCCTGTGTTCTCCTGGAATCCTCAAGGGGCTTTTTTCTTATAGAACTCAGTCTTCATGCTCAAAGGATACCATACATGTGAATGGCTTGGTGGAAGAGGCTCTTTTAAGGCCCACATTTAAATGATATTCTTACTTTCTGAAGTGCAAATTATCTCATGCAGGTCTTTGGCAATTCTGCACAAGTTTTAGTGTGTGGAGACATGATACACTTTTAAGAATGTCAAACGTATTAATTCTCCTCATGGGACAGGTGCAACCTTGGGTTATCTATGGATAGAGAAACTGAGTCCAAATGATTTGTATGTGGTGGAGATGGGAGTTAAATCAGAGAGTGGTATTCTGGATTCCATGCTCTTCACCACAACTCCACACAGCCTCAATCAATTTAGACATAATTTTGAGAACATTATGCCCATTTTAGCAAAGATAAAGTAATGGAGACACAGATATATAAAGATATACTCATATCACAATTCCAGTTAGTAACAGAGGTAACACTCATAACCCATACCAGCTGGTCTAGGGGATTTTCAGCTGCTCCCTGCTGCCTTCAGAAGTTGACTTGCCATAGAACACCTTGTCTATATGGAGACATTGCCCTTGAACTCTGCTGTTGACTGTGATCTCTGCAGAAAGTTGCTATTACTGCTGGGTGTAAAACCACCACGTCTGCAGTCATGGTTCACTGCATGCGCCAGAAGACAGAGGAGGAGCTCTTGGAGGCCACGCTGAAAATGGTAGGTGCCGCCATCCCATGGCCCTTCTCGTAGGCTTGACCCTGGGCTTCTCTCTCCACTCATCTTGGTCCAAGTTTGAAATTTCTCTTTTTATCTCTTATTATGAAATATTTCAAATGTAACAACCACTCTGATTGTAGGGGTTTTCAGAAAAGAGTCACAATTTTTCTTGGTTGATTTAGAAGCTGTCTTAATTATAACACAGTAGTAGTCAAGTTTTCTAGATTTTCTGAGACTCTGTCTCATTTAGTATTCAAAACAATTATCTGTCATCTCTCCAATTATATTGATATTATTTCACTAATCTAGTGTGAATCCATCCTTAACTTTTCATCCATCTATTTTTTAAAACTTTTTTTAGTTTTTTATAATTTTATTTTATTTGTATTTATTTATTTACACTTTTATGGTGCTGAGGATCTAACCCAGTGCCTCACAGGTGCCAGGCAAGTGCTCTCCACTGAGCCACAGCCCCAGCCCTCATTCTTCTTTGTTTACTCTGTCCATCGTCCATGAATCATCGGTCCCACATAAATCCACACTCCATTATCCAGTCCTCCAAAAGCAATGATCCACCCTTCACCTATTTGGTAGTTTACACCTTTTGTCCTTGTGTCCATCCAACTTCCCAATAGTGCTTGCATTAACCAACTCACTTCCTCCTTCTGTCCCTCCCTCCCTCCCTCCATGCTAAGTGTGTGGGAGAGCAATGTCAGGAGAGGTGATGCAGACATAAATTGAACATTGTCCCTGCTCAAAAGGGACAATACAAGGATGAATGTGTGGTGGGAGGATAGAGAGGAGACACAGTCATTACAGCCATTAGGAGTGCTTCTTAGGGAAAGTGACATTTGAGGATTGATGGATTGTCAAGACAGTCTGTCACCACAGGGAACTTAGTAGGACAAACATCCAGAGGAAAGAACATGCAGGGCTAATGGGAGCTACTTCCTAAGGGGGGGGGAGGTCTGACTGTATGCTTGGGGTCACTTGAGCCCCTTGTCTATCTTGACCTTGAACACCAGACAATACATCTGGGCCCACAGGGCAGACTGCTAACATAGTGCTCTGTATGTCCATAGATTGGGTTCAGTTTGTCCTTGGGAGTTGTAGCTTGGTTTACCGACTTAAATAAGGTGATTAAAGTTCTCAAAGAATTAAGACACAGCTGTTTTGTGATACCTGGAAGGAAGCAAATACTTTAGCTATCCTCTATGTGACAAAAGAGCAAGGTTATATGGAAATAGATGGTGACCTTGGGGAAACCAAGAGACCTAAAATCTTGGAATCCCAGGACATATTTCTGAGATCTTTTGAATTTTTGTGGAACTTTTTACATGATTAAACTTTTGGAAACTTTTTTAAATTTTTGGAACTTTTTACATGGTCCAGTACAAACACACACACATGTACACACACACACACACACATACACACACACACACACACCACCCCTGGCTTGTGGGGCTACAACCCAGAATGGAGGAACCCCAGTGGTCCCTCTACATGCAGGGCAGGAAGTGAGATATGGTGTAACATTTTAATCATTGCAGTCTAAACACATGGCAAAGGAAAGCATCTGTTGGAATGTACTTCAAAGAGCTATCTTAAATCATGGTTTTCTAACCCCCAATAAGAAAAGTCTTTCCAAGGTGGCTTGAACAAAAAGAAGAATACATCTTATAATGGAATCTCCAGGTAAGTGAGGAGTTCATGAGCAGATGGCTTAGGGCATGGCTGGATCCAGGTGCTGTTAGAATAGTGTTGAAGAATGTGCCTGTCTCTATCCCTCTGCTTGACAATCTTCTTTGTTGGCTTCTCTCTGAAGTAGATTTGTCCCCTGGGGAGGTTAAAGATAATAGCACTCTAGAGACATGTCCTATCTGCTTAGAAACTGTCTATCTCAAAAGCTTCAGCAATAGGTTTGGGGTAAACTCTGTTGGAGTGACACTGGTTTGTACCCATCCTTGTACTCATCTGTATGTTCAGGGACTTGGAACACCCCAGGTCACAGAGAGATGCCTGAAGACATGGAGAGGACAGGGGGAAGAGGGAAGCAGGGAGAGAGTAATGCCCTCTCCATCTGGGGCATCCCACCTGCAGCTCCATTTCCCGCCCCCCAGTTGCCTCAACCACACCAATGCCCAGGGACCAATATGTATGTTCCCTCCAGAGGAAAATGGGGTTCGATGCCACTAAGAAGAAGTAGGGGGAAGGATGATGAGGACAGGCAGCAAGAGCAGAGGTCCTCCCAGCAGCTCCAGGGCGCCTGACTCTGGTCCCCAGGTCTCCTTCCCTGGCTGCTGCCTGCCCCTCCTCCACCCTACGACTCTACTCTGGGCTCATGCCCAGTGGGGTCTGTGTAGGGTCCTCTGCCTCTGATTGGGAGAACCTGGTAGCTCTGGGGCACAGATCAAAGGATCAGCTTTTATACCAGGAAGCTTCTCACCCACATCCTCTGCCTTTGTCTTCACAGAAACTTTTTACTCTGGATATGCTTGGAGACCCCAGAGAGGTAAGGACCATTGGTTTCTTAATTACAGGTTTCAAATCTTATTAATACATTTAATCTCTGTTATGCTTTGAATGAACGGATTCTATTTTGTGGACTCATATTGCTGAGGCCCAGAGAGCAGAAGTAACTAGCCAGGGTAACATAGCTTAGAGGTCAGGAGGCAGGATTGGAACTCACCGCCATGGCTCTCACTGCAGTGCTCCCAGTCACAAATTATATATCTCCCAGGATGAGCTATCCTCTTCTCATTTACATTCCCTGTGGGATAAGTCTGCTCTAGAACACCCTCAGGAGGCTAGAGAAATGCATTAGAGGCTCAGAATCCTTCATTAAGGAGGACAGATGTTCTAGGAGGCCACAGGGCAAATTAGCTGTGCAGAAGGGGAGCCTGGGATCTCAGTCCTTAGGACACCACCCTCCTCCTAGGATCCAGGAAACTCCAAAAGTATCCTCCCATCTGCTTCCTCTTCCTCTCCCACCTCTCCACAGTTGCCAGGGTCTGGAGACCTTAGCATAGTCCATCTTGCAATCCCTTCCTCTGCTCCCTCCCCGGGGATATCTGACATTTCTTGATCTTATGAGGATGATATGAGATCTATCTATTCAGACATTCATTAAAGTGTTAAGACGCACTTACTCTGTTGTAGGAGATGGTTTAGCAACAGGGATATGGCAGTGATTCCGACAAGATATCCTGGTTTCTGATGGAGATTGCAATAGAAAAGCAAAAAAACCATGTAGCATGCTGGCTGATGGTCAGAGTCAAGAGAAAAAAAAAGATATTGGGAAATGGGGACCAAATCAGCCAATGGTTCAAATGTAAGCATTAGGATCAAGGGGTGGCCTGATGATCAGTGACCTTGGGGTGGAACTCTGGGGGCAGGGGAGGAAGCCAGCTGTCAAGAGGACTGGAGGAGGCGGGTTTCTGGCAGAGGAAACAGCAACGGCAAAGACCCTGATGCAGGAGGCCCTGTGTGTGGAATGAAGGCTGAATGGGGAAGCAGGGTGGAGGCTGGGGGTGTCCTGAGGTGGGGGTGGGGTGGTGGTCACTGGAAAGACTTGGACTGTGATTCTGTGGTATATAGGAGGTGCTCAGAGGGCGCTGAACAGAGTATGGACATGATCTGTGGTTTTACAAAGGTGACTGCAGTAGTCAGTAGGAGAAGGGGCAGGGCAGGGGCAGGGACAGCCCTGGGAGCTCAGTGCTCTGTAGCTGCACAGCAAGGGATCCTTGTAGCTCAGACCAGTGGAGGGGCAAGAAGTCTGCCGTTCAGAACTTTCTGAAGGAAAAGATGACAGAACTTGCTGATATATGGTGTGTGAGGAGCCAAGGAAGAAGAGGAGAAGGAAGCCCGGAGTCCTTGACCCCCACACCCCGTTGTGTCCAGTATTAAGCAGCTTTCTGGTACTATAATGGATATTTGAGATGATCAAGTTATAAAGAGGAGAAGGTCAATTGAGCTCACATTTCTGGAGGATTTATTCCATGATTGGTGAACCTGTTTCTTTGGGCCTATGGCAGCACATCACCACAGGACGGGGAGAAGAACAAAACCACTCACTTCTATCTGGGGCTCTGGGGTAGAGAGATGGACAGAGAGAAGGAGGGAGGGAGGGGGAGAGGGGGAGAATTGGGAATTTCTATATGATGAGGGCATGTGCCCAGTGACCTGAAGACCTCCCACTAGGCCCCATATCTTCAGGTCTCTGCCCCTCCCACTACTACCACATGCTGCAGATTAAGCCTCAACACATGGGCCTCAGCAGCCCCATTGGATTAGTTCTTCATATCTGAGTGCCAGGGATGTGCCAGGGATTGTGCAGAAAGTGTGCTCTATCCTCTGAGCCTCTCTCTTGTTCCTGCTCTAAGGCCCTCCTTCAAGCCCAGGCCTCTGTGACATTGCTGGAATTAGTCCTGCTCACCTCTGTCCCTTGCTTATGCTATTTCTACTGCCAAGAGCGTTCATAACAAAAGCCCATGCAGATGCCAAACACCTGATCCAGGTGCCCTGCAGACTCTTCCTTCAGAGGAGCTGCTCCTGCTGCTGGCCTCTGGGCAGGCCTCTCAGAGCCTCACAGCTTTGCTAAGGCACTCAAACCAAGCCCTCTACTGTCAGCTCATAGGAGCAGGATCTGGCCCTTGTCTTGATCTATTACTCCCCCAAACAGGGAGTCAAGTCTCAATGTAGGCACCTCGAGTGGTGAGCTCGATACTGCCTCAAAACTAATCGTTTGTCTAAAAGAGCTCAAGTTTAAATACAGAAGCAATAGATACTCCTCAGTTACAGTTTTAGTATTTGTGAATTCACTTCTTTGCTAACACATTTTTGTATGCACCAGGGATACCTTGATGCATTTGTGGTCATTTGCAACATTAAATGCAAAGCAGCAAGGAGTTGAGTTGCTGTGAGGTCCATGTTCCCCTCTGAGGTCACACAAGGAAATACTCAGTGTCTTGCTTCATCTCTCTTGCTAACAAGTACCCTTCTTGTGGTCTATATAGCAACGCTTGTTTTACAGTATTTGCTTTTGTTGGTGATTTCTCTGTTTATAATGACTCTAAGGCACAGTGAAGAAGTGCTGTCTAGTGTCCCTAAATATGAGGGACTGTGCTATGCCTTGAAGAGAATATACATGTGATAGTAAGCTTTGTTCATGGTGTGTACGGTGCTCTTGGCCATGAATTCAATATTAATGAATCAAGATACAGTCCATCCAAAGAAGAACTGGAGATTTGCCTGTCTGTAAGTGAGGTCAGTCTGGAAAGCTGTCATGCAACATCTTTGTGGAGACACAACCATGGGAAAGATGGAGAAGCAGCTCCATGTTTAAAAAGCAGAGTGGACAGCAGTGTTGTAAGGCAGGAGCTGTAGAAATCTACAGTGATGTTACCCAAGGTTGAGAAAATGTTGAGTGAGTCCCAGCTAGTGTTTTATTATAAACGGATTCTGCATGTAACAAATTCTTTGTAAGAGATCTATATCATATGGCATGTCTAAAGAGCAACCCACATGGAGACGAGAGTTTCACAGGGCCTTGATTCTGGACTTCCCTTTGGACCAATGGCCCAGCTATTTGCTATTTCAGCACTCACTGCGATCTGTCAAACACGACTAAGACAGTGAGAATCGAGTGCCTGTGTGTGCATTTAAAATTGAGATGGATATTATCATTATTTATATGTAATATATAATTTGGGTGATATATTTGCCATTCCCGGACCTCTATCACGTTGCCATCCCTAGCTTCCTGGTTAAAATTCTCTCCTCACTGTGTGACAGACTTAGCTCCCTTCTGAGTTTTGTGGCCCTGCCCAGTCATGGAAGTCTGTGGTGCTGGCGTGTTGACTGCTCTGCTCTCTTTCCCCAGAGCACTCCCATGATACCCACTGTAATGGATGGTGTTGTGCTGCCCAAGACACCAGAGGAGATTCTGGCTGATAAGAAGTTCAACACTGTCCCTTACATTGTGGGAATCAACAAGCAAGAGTTTGGCTGGATTTTGCCCATGGTGAGACTGTACAGACCTCTTACGCAGACTCCTCCTCCTCCCCCATCTTCCCTCTGACATCTGGACCCAGAATGTGTCTTTTCTCCAAGGCCCACTCTGAGTCTGGGAAACTTCACCACTGGTCTGAGTGGACTCTGGACATTTCTTTGTAAATCTTTCTGGGATGGTACAGCTCTCTTGAATGTTATATCCCTGTGGACCCTTCTCCCCAAGCACTCGTTGATTGTCTTCCTAATAACGAATGCTGACATGTTCAGGATGGGAGGGTCTGCAGAAACCATAATAGTGCAGACTGATGAGGTCTAGAGGAAAAGGAGCAGGAGAGCTAGGTCTGGGCATAGCAACTTCTTCCTTGGGCTTGGACTCACAGGTCCTAGGGGTTCCCATGGGTGCTCCCAGGCACTTCTCTGGAAAGATTTAGAGGAAGTTGCTTATATGTTAGTTACATTGGCTCCAAAAAGCCAGGTTTTGGCTGGAGAAGATCCCATTTTGACTGGAAAGCATTGAGATTTCTCATGTAGGTGTTTCAAGAGGGCCTAGGGTCATCCTCGTCCATGGCTTTAGGCTAAAAAAGCCAGGCTAGAGTGGGATAGAGTGCAGAGGATCAACAGGATCTTCAGAGGGTTGGAGTTCTGCAGTTCTTACTTCAGAAGTGAGAACTTCAGGTTATGCCAAAGGAAAAAAATTCATCGTGATGGATTTTGACTTCACGAGACATTGGAGTGTGCGGGGTAATGGCCTGTGCTCTCTTGTTCTGAGCTCTCTGCTTCAGCACTACCCTGGATTCAATTTCCCTCAGTGCCCGGATGACCACGGTGCCCCCTAGCCTGGTGTTTATATATATGTTCAAGTTATCCCTTTTGTATGCCTTGAGTTTCTATGTACAAGTCCATTTACTTGATATTTTTTCAAACTAATGAATGCACCTGCACATCAAGACCCCAAGAAAACCTTCACAGGCATTGGCTTGCTTGGTTCTTCTTGTTAATTCCTGATGATTCAGAAATGCTTAACCCCCTTTTTAATAGATGATGGGATTTCCCATCTCTGAATCCAAGCTGGACCAGAAGACGGCCACATCACTCCTGCAGAAGACTGGCTCTCTTCTGGTAAGAAGTCGAAAGAGTTATGGGAATTGACTGAGAAACCAAGAACAGCTGGCCTTGCTCTGAGTCCCAGACCAACTCAATGGCAGAAGAAAACCCGACACCTGTGTTCCTTCCCCATATGTCTGCCTTTCCCTCCCCGCCACCCCAGGAGGGATTTGCACAGGGCCCAGGAGGTTCACATCCAAGGAGCCTTCTGCATGGCTCTCCAGGTGGGGGATCTCTTTCTTGATGCATTTTAGGAGGTCCAAGACGAACTGACTCAAATGGCCACTGAGAAGAATTTTAGAGGGATAGACGACCCTGTCAAAATCAAAGACCTCTACCTGGAGTTGGTTGGAGATGTGTTTTTTGTATCCCATCTGTGACTGTGGCTCGTGGTCACAGAGGTAAGTCACAGAGGTTGCATAGGAGAGGGACACTGCCACCTCCCAATATCCAGTCACTTATGGGCAAAGAAAGTGGAGGGTGAGCACATACAGTGCAATAAGATTTTCAGAGAGGGGAGACAGAGAAAGAGAGGGAACACAATGATAGAGCTTTGTAAAATCACAAATTGACAAACAATATTTGTATAAACTTATGGAGTGCAGTGTGGTTATGATTTATGAACACATTGTTCGATAATTCCATCAAACTGGTTAACAGACCCATCTCCTCAAATACTTGGCACTTTTTGCAGGGAGAACACTTGACATTTTCATTCAGTAACTGTTCAGTGCAAAACACTCTATTATCAACTGTGTTTACCACACTGTCCGGTAGAACAACATCAAAAGAGAAGACCAACATTTCCCCAATGGGTATTTTGTACTCTTTTAACAACACCCTTCTTTACTCCTCATCTCTTGCCTGTTACCAAAATTTTATTCTTTCTTCTATGACTTCTAATTGAGCTATAAGTTGTCACATGTGGTACTTTTCTTTCTAAGCCTTATCTCCCTCAGCATGTTGGTCCCCATTTCAACATGTAATCTAAAATGGTATCATTCTTTTCTTTTTAAAAACTAAATAGAATTCCATTGTGTTTCTCTCCCACATTTTCTTTATCTTTTCATCTGTTAATGTACATAGGTAATTTCATGATTTGGCTCTTGTGAGTCGTTCTACTGTGAACATGGGTTGAAGAGATCTCTCCCACAAACTACTTTCAAATCTTTTGGGTAGATACTCAGAAGTGGGGTTGCTGGATTACATGGTAATTCTGTTTTTAGTTTTTCAACAACCAATCATCTTGTTTGACATCTGTACTAACAGTATTAAAGTGTTCTCTTTTCTTTTCATCTTGGTTAATATTTTTCCCTTTTATTTTGGTACCTGGAATTGAGCCCAGGGGTACTCCACCACTGAACTACATCCCCAGCCCTTTTTGTTTCGAGACAGGACCTTGCTAAGTTGCCAATGATGGCTTTGAACTTACAATCCTCCTGCCTCAGCCTCCTGAGCTGTTGGGATCACACATGTGCCCCCACAGTGCCAGATCACCCTTTTTCCTTTTCCATTCTTTTTGATAAAAATTATTTGGACTGGGTGGGTGATACCTCATTGTAGCTATAGTTTGTGTTTTCCCAGTGATTAGTGATGTTGAGCAAGTTCTCATCTACCTGTTGTCCATTAATATGATTTCTTTTCAGAAACGTTTGTGCAGGGCCCCTACCCACTTTTAAATTTGTTGTTTTGTTTTTTTTGCTGTTGTCCAAAGGCCCTGCAGAGCTTATATTTAACTCTTTAATGCATTATGGCTTGCAAACCTTTTCTCCTGGTTTGCAGGTTGTTTTTGCACACTGTTCCTTGTTTTCCTTTCTTGAAGGAGCTTACAGTTCGATGAAATCTCATTTTCAGTTTTCACTGGGTTGTCCTCAATTTGGGAATCAAATCCAGAGTCATTGCCCAGACTAGTGGGCAATGTTTTTTTTTTCCCTCTGTTTTCTTCGATCAGTCTTTGAAAATTCATGTTATTTCTAAGTCTTTCACCCATATTCTTTAGTAATTTTTGTTTATGGTGTGATATGAGTTTCAATTTCCTATTTCTTCAGGTCAAAAATCCACTTTCTTAATATTCTTTATCCAAGAGACTGTCTTTTCCCATTTTCTATTCTTAGCATCTTTGTCAAAAATCAGTTGACTTCACATGCCTGGGTTCACATCTGGGCTCTCTAGTGTGTTCATTGATGGATGTGTTGATTCTTTTCTTCCAATAGTGTGTTATTTTAATTACCATAGCTGTTAGTGTACTTTGAAGAAGACGGAGGTTACATCTCCAGCTTTTTTTATTTCCACTCATGATTACGTTGAACCAGTTTTTTGTTTGTTTTATGTGAATTTTACAATTTTTTCCCTATCTGTCTGAAGAATGATGTTGGAATTTTGATAGTGATTTCACTGAACCAGTAGATCACTTTGATTAGCATAGATATTTTGACAATATTACTTCTTCCAAACTGTGATCATTGGGTATCTTTTTTTGCATTTGTGTCATCTTCAATTTCTTTCATCAGTGTCTTATAGATTTTAGTGTCCTGGAAACAACACTTGGAGAATTGTGTGGTATAGGTGGAGACAGTCCAGGAGGGGAAGTTTTTATACTTGTCGCCTTGATTTGCACAATGAATGATCATTTGGAGACCAAATCAGAGTCTGTGTCTTACACTATAGCTGAGTCCATTCTCTCAGAGAGATGTCATCATACATGTAAGAAGAATCACTATCGAGAGTTTAGTACAGTGCTAAAGGCCAAATGTGGGCTAATGGGGGAATATAAAATCCCGGGGAACCACAGACCCACAGGGGAGCTCAAACCCACAGACTCATCTCCAAGGATGTCTCTTGGGTGCTCATGAGAAAGACGGGGGGCAGCTTGTAAAACCAGGCTGGAAGGCCTTTCTCTAGGGGTGTAGACATGAAGTCCTGCTCAGACCACCCTCCTTCCATATCCCAAGTCCTACAACCATTAGGGAGAAAAGCTATGAATTTTCCCTCGGGACCCTGGTGATTCTGCTGAGATTGAAGAAAAGGGAAATTTAGAAACTCTGTGGGAGAACCCACAGGAAACTGTCCTGGGTTGAGATCATTAGAGATCCTTTCTGACTGGGAAGTGTCCGTGAAAGAACAAACAAGGCTCATCGTCGGAGAATATGCCCGTTTATTGAGGAACAGTTCTGCATATTTATAGATCCGGGAGTTATGAGAGTTAAACAGTTTAATGGTTTGACAGTTGGCATGGGGTGCTTTCTGATTGGTGGGTAAGGATCATGTGAGCCAGCAGGGCTAGTCTGATTGGTCGGTAAGGATCATGTGAGCCAGCAGGGCTCACCATTGGATGGCTCTTCTGGGGGGGATGGGGAAATTAGTCTTTGGAGCCGGGGTGACTCCCAACATTCCCCCCTCTTATTAAATGAGAGTAGGCTTGGACTCATTATGGCTGCTTCTTGTTGAGATGGGGTGGTGTGGGAGAAAGAGAGGAGGAAAGTAAGGAGCCCCCACAGGAAGGCAGAAAAGACCGGTATAACTTCAGGAACCAGATCAAAGAAGGTTCCTTGCCACCACAGATCCATGATGATGTCAGTCCATTCGGCATAGGTCTCGACTGGAGGTAGCCAGGAGTTGGTAATTCCTGAGGAGAAGCTGGTTAAAAGCTTGTTTCGAATTTTTTTACCCACCTGAGTCTGAATGAACTTTAAAGGGAAGGAACAGGCACAGGGAGTTTTTATAGCCCAAATCTAATGGAGTCTCTGGGTCTGCAAGCTGCCTTGTTGGCGCAAGGGGGGTTAAGTGTTCAGCCTTGGGCGTTTGGGCTTGAAGCAAACAGGTGATAAAGAACCAGACAGAGGGTTTGAGAGGCCAGGTCATCCTGCAGCTAACTTTGTTTGGCATGCCCTGCAGACCAGCCTGTCCTGCACCTAACACCCTCAATTCCACTCTTCATTCCTAGTCCAATCTAGTTTCCCTCCCCTCTCTATTAAGGCTGCTCTTCAAACTTTCTCCTACCTGGGTGTACCAGCTTGCTACTCTCATTACCTTTCTCAAAGGCGGCCAAGGGAGGACAGTGGCCCATTGTTACCATATTTGCCTTTGAGAGCAGTCAGATCTCTTCAGGTTTTATGTGAAACACCTCAATTTTAAATACTGATACTTGAAATTCTTATGAAACTGGAGGGTAAACAAAACACACATGTTCCTCCTTAGGCCCAGAAGGCAACTGATAAAGTGCTCTCTTATGATAAAGGTAGCTCACACTTATTCAGGGGTCACCATGCTCCAGACACCCAAGTGGTTTGTCAGAAGGACAACACACAATGGCCCCACTACCGGCCAAATCCAAGCAAGAAGGGAGGGTCTGTAGTAAGGAAGAAAAGGGGGTCTGGCTGGAGGGAGGCCTTAGGATCACTTGCCCAGACATAGGGTGAAGAGAGGACCCAAGAGGGGTCAGAAATGAGGGGGAGCATTGACAAGAGTACTTAATGACAGGTGACGATCGTTGGCTCTTCTGATGAAGGTGTAGGAGCGCTGGGCTTAAGTCTGGAAATGTGAATCCATGGGGTAAGTTGGTTATTGGACAGCTTGAGTTTGGCCACCAAGGGAGTGCACATAATCACCTGAGCAGGACCCTCCCAGTTTGGTTTTAGAGGGGTTTTTCCCCTGGTGGGCAATAGTAAACAAGTTGACCAGGTGTTGAGGAGGTAGGGTTTTTAAAGAGACTGTGGTCAGGAAGGAGCCAGTCTTGATAGCGCCAGAGTTCAGAGCGTAGATGGAAGAGGAGGGGGAGGGCATAGGTTTCGGAGACGGGTAGGGGTTCTGTAGGCAATCAGGGAGGAACGAGGGGACGGCCATACATGACTTCGAAAGGTGAGAGATTAGAAGGCTTTTTGGCAAGGCCCTGATGCACAATAAAGCCAAGGGGAGCACCTAAACCCAGTCCAGTCTTAATTCCAAGGTGAGCTTGGTGAGGGTCTCTTTCAACCTTTCAACCTTTCTGGAAGCCTGGGGGCGGTAAGAGCAATGGAAATGCCAAGGGAGTGATAGTGCGTGAGCCAGTCCCTGAGTTACCTGCAAGGTGAATTCTGGGCCATTGTCTGATTGGTTACAAGTGGGCATCCCGAAACGAGGGATTATGTGTGTAAGCAACAGATCAACTACCGTAGAGGCCCATTTGTTAGAAGTGGGAAAGGCTTCAACCCATCCCGAAAAAGTATCTACCAATACAAGAAGATTTTTATGTTTTTTACTTGGGGCATATTGATGAAATCAATCTGCCAGTCTGCAGCTAGGTATGACCTTGGGCCAGATAAAAAGGGAAAGGTTTAGGTTTTAATGGAGTATTGGTATTGGTTTTCTGGCAGATCTGACAAGCGGAAGTGATCTGTTGTAGGAGGGTCTTATTGCGTGGGGAAAGGGTGAAAAAGGAGTGAAAGAAAGTAGTGAGACTCTGTGGACTAGAATGGAATAGAGAGTGAAAAAACTGGAAGAGTTGCTGGGGATCTTTGGGCCGATCCCCGGTGGTAATGAAGAGTAGCGGAGAGGAGTTAAAGTTCTGTAGGGCGGCTGATGGAGCCACTTGATCGGCCTTGGAATTCCCCCTAGTAGTAAGGGAGGAGTCAGTTTGATGGGCCTTGCAATGGATTATTCCCAGTTGGGAAGGCAGCCTGGAGGCTTGTAGTAGGCCAGAAATAAGTGTGGAATTAATGACTGCCTTCCCTATGGTGGTCAATAGCCCCCTTTCTTTCCAAATGGCTGCGTGGGAGATCAGGATATGGAAGACGTATTTGGAATCTGTATATAGGGAGAGGGTTTTTCCTCTGCTAGCTCGCATGCCCTTGTGGCAGCTATGAGTTCAGCTTGGTGGTTGGTGGTATTGGGTGGGAGAGGTTTTGCCTCACAATGGATGAGAGGGAAACGACAACATACCCCGTCACTTTAACCCTTCGTGTATAAAAGGGCAGTGGTCCCTCAGAAATGGTGGTAGGGCAGGGTAAAATTGTCTTTAATACCTCCAGGCATTTGTGGATGGGATCTTGTGAGGGAGAAGATGGGAGGAGGGAGGCAGGGTTTAATGGAGAGCAGGGCTGAAAAGAGATGGAGGGATTTTCAAGGAATGAGACAAGGAGGGATAGAACCCTGGAAGGAGGAAGTGACTGTAGCCCCTTGTAAGTGAGGAAATCCTTTAAATGATGAGGAGATGAGGTGGTTAGTGGGGAGCCAAAGGTAAGCTTGTGTGCTTCTTTCTGGAGGTCATGGGCCACTGCTAGGGCTCTGAGACATGGGGCCAGCCCCTGACGGTGGGGTCGAGCTGTTTGGATAGGTAGGCCCCTGGTGAAAATGTGGGACCATATTCCTGACCCAGAACGCCCAGACTTTGTCCCTGTTTTTCATGTACATAGAGGGTGAAGGGTCCGGAGAGGTCAGAAATACAGGATGGGTGCCTGGAAGAGGGCCTTTTTAAGGATTGTAAAGGGCTTCCATACCCCTGATGGTAGGGTTCATCTTAGGGGCCCTTGGCCAGATTATATAGCAGCCTGGTGAGGAGGGAGAAATTAGGAATCCAGGCCCTGAAGTACCCAGCCAAACCCAAGAAGGAGAGTATGTCATTTTTGGTCTTTAGTGTAGGTATAGACACAAAAAGCTGTTTTCTGTCTACTGTAAAGGCCTTTTTCCCTTGAGAGATAGAGAACCCTAGATATGTGACCTCTTTACATGCTATTAGAACCTTTTGTGGAGAGGTCCGATATCCCTTTAAGGCCAAGAAATTAAGTAGGAGAACTGTGTCATCTGTTGAGTGCCCTTTGGATGGGCTAGAAGAATTTGTTGCAAGAAAGCAGGACTGGATCAGAGCAAGAAGAAAGCCTGGAAGATATCCCTTAGAATGGAGGGATCCAGGGATAAGTGGGCCAGGCCTGGGTGCTATATTTGATCCAAGAGGCATTGTAGGGGAGAGTCGACCAGCAGAGAGGACATATTACCCATGTAAGGAGGAGGGAAGAAGACGAAGAGAAGGAGGAAACTGATTTATTGGCAAAAGGGGCATCCCCACTAGAGCCAAAAAATCAGGAGTGCCTAAGTGGCAGTTTCGAGCTGCAGAGATTGGTCGTCACCAAATCCTGACAGTCAAAGCTCTCGTCCTGGACAGAGCCGGAGCCATGGGAGACCTTGGCCAAGGTTTTTTGAGACCTTTCCTAAAGAGGCTGGATACTCCCAGGACTGGAAAAAGGGGAGAGGCAGGGCAAGAGAGAGGAAGGGGAGGATAAGCGTCAATCTAACAGCTGAGTCTTAAAGGTGAGAGGACTAGGACTTTCGAATCTGTCCAAAGAAGGAGTCCCTGAGGGCCACCATAGCCTTAAAGGCTGTGGTGGGGTGGTTTCCTCCCCGCAAGTGGGCAAAGAGATTTGCCTGACAATTGCAAGAGGGTGGATTCGGGGCATTGGGGGTGAAAAGATTGGAGGTCGGAGGCCAAGGTTTGTCCAAAGAGGTGTGGACTATCTTGAGATCCCTGAGGAAGGACAGTCCAGGTTAAAGGCAAAAAGATATCCTTTAA